CTTCATTGAGGGGAGGAAGAAAAGCTGAACCCAAGTCTGACCGAGCCTTACTGAGCTCAACCGAATCTAACCGAGCCCGAGCCTGACCGAGCCCGAGCCCGACCGAGCCCGAGCCCGAGCCTGGCCGAGCCCGAGCCTGACCGAGCCCGAGCTACTCGGGCTCGGTACATGCCTAATTATACAGTTACGATTGAACGAAAATTTTATCATTATTCATTGTACGTAATCATTGCGAGAGTAAGATAGACTCTATGATAGTTTAGAATGTTCACACAGATTTTAATGATATTTTATTAGTATAGAATGAGCTGATAATTTGGATTTCTCAGATATTAGTAACTTATCTTATGTGGTTGAATTCGAGCTCAGTCATCTATTTGATTAAGTACAGTGCATTTTCATAGCTGTTAAACACTTTTTGAGAGCTTACTTAGCTGTTGTACTTTTGAATTTGCGTCTGAGTTCTTTGTTTTTGAAATGAAATGAACAAGCTGATGATGCACTTTCACAAGCTGTGGAGCAATGAAGCTCAGAACTACCATGAGACCACCTAATGACCCGATGAGTTTCGTTAGTATGTAGAGAATACCATTGTGTTTTGTCACCGTGTAAGTACATGAATTCGGTGAACAAGCCGTATAGTAGCCAGAAAAATTTGTTACATTCCTCCACTCTTCAACCATTAACTGTTCCAAAAGTAAACCAATGGTGGTGGTTCGAAAGAAACGCGATTTAGTTGAGCTATCTAATGGCTTTGGCCAAGAGGTAGCAGGAAGAGTAGAGATCCATTTTGCTGTGATATTAAAGCATACAGGATCATAAAAACATTCGAGGGTATCACTAATGGTGGCATCATTTGGAAAACACCCAACATGCATCCCAGGAACGACAAAAACAGGTGGTGGTTCTGGAGACGTTAGTTGCATGAGCGGTCGTGGCTCCAGAGCCCATTCATAAATGCCTGCTTTATAGTTTACTATACTAAAACTGCTGCACAAATTGAAGTCGTCTTGATAGTCCTAGATATAAAAATGTAATTCATTGTCATCCTTTACAATGTAGCTGCAATGAGTTTTAAAATGTAGTATATGTTCGTTTTTAATACTAAGTTTATGCTTAAATTTATGCAAATCATAATGATCATTCATGAAATAAATACATCAGATTATATCTCATACTTCATTTAAGCTAATTAGCTTTTCAAAACTAGAGGGAATGATGTTAGAATTTGAAGTAGATTTTTATCAAGACTTTTCAAGCACAAAGTATGAGTCTCTCAATATTTCTTCATTTATCTTAATCACTAGAATTAATTTTTCTTCTACAAAATTCGCTATTTCATTGTTTATGAGATTTGTTTCATATGTTTTTGAGAAAACATTTCAACAGAAAATTGTAATAAGTACAATAATCATGTAGGAAAGTATCGGATTTCAATATTTTATCTGAATTAAATTTTTAGATTAGTTTCATCAAATATAGTTGTTAATGAATGTTGAAGTAAATAGCAATGAAAGTTGATTCCTTTTGAGTTACTCTCATAGACAGTGGCTGACATGTTGAAATGATATATCCGAGTTTTGAAGCAAAAATTTTTTTATTTCATGAGTTCTTTTCACAACATTAACTATTGCCCAGTGAAAGTTAAATCTTAAGAAAGAAATTTGTATTGCACTATATTTTTAGTAGATATTTAAAATCTGTTTTAGTCAAATGTCCTAGAATCCTATTTAACATTGATAAAAACTAGTATTTTCATGGGTTTCCTGGAATTCAAAACGTTTTATATTAGTTTGTACTTATGAGTATCATGCTGTGGTCATTTTCCATTGAAATAAAATAGTTCAGAACCAAAATGATACTGTTTCTGATTGTTTGTGATTATTGTTTTAGTTGCTTTGAAACTAGAAGACTAATACAGTAGCATTCTTAAAACTCTCTTAACGAAACGATAATCACCATATGCTACTAGAATTCTGATGACTATTTTCTATTGGTGATTGATTGATAATGTATATTTGGAACTTTAAAATTTGTATATTACTTTTGTTGATTGTTACTAACTGATGACAATATTGAAAACAGTTGTTCGGTCTTTAGAAGCTAGCATCTTTTGATAATATTCTGTTTTCATTTGTGCAACATCCAAAATTTCTGATACATGTCTTGCAGCAAAGTGAATGATAAATCTTTTAAAAAACAATCCAAATCTTGAAATTTACAGAATACGATGTTGCGCAATCGAATCTTATCAGAATATATATATTATTTTTCTCTCAGATGATCAGAGGCTGAATAATTAGTTAATCACTTGCACTGGCAAAATCATTTTTGTATTCGATTTAGTATTGATCTCTTCTGAAACTATGTGTACGATTATGGATTTTATATTAAGCGAATGAATGATTATCTATGAAGAGCAATATTAAATAAATAAAAAAATTAATGTCAATAAACCATTCAAACAACGAAAAATGCTTCAAAACAGTCGCCAAATTTAGAGGTAAATTACTAGATGATAAATAAAGACTAATAATAAATATATTTTAATTTTTTCTTCGTCAACAACATGTTTAGAGGAGACGATGATATACGTACTTTAAGCTGCCATATAATAGATAAAAGATAATACTTTGTGAATACAAGGCAGTTGAATTCTCCTTAATCATTGTTTAGGCTCTATGGAAGAAAGAAAATCTGCGGATTTGAGTATTACGGTAAAAGATACTGAACAGGCTAACTAATACATTAATAAAACTGACAACAGTGTTGAAATCATAGCTTGATCAAATGCCAGTTAGTCTATGACTGATGACTGTTTGCAAGAGAGATACCTACGTTCTGTTAGTTGTACGAAATCAAAATAAATTAATATAGACTTCAATTTATCATAGGACTTTAAATCATAAATATATCGTGCAACACTTCGCAATTTATCAATTTACTTCTTCGAGAGACTTACGCTACTGTAGGTAACATTGTCGCGTTTTGGATAAAAATTAATGATGGATTTAAATATGTCTGAGCCCGGTACGCTTGTTAGTAATGTATTCGTGTGAAGAGAAGAGTCAGTGTAATCTTGAGAGATGATGAATCGGAGGAATTGATAACCACGAATAGGTGTTACTTTTGTTTTCATTGCAGCATTAAATTTTTCAATGAGAGCATTGGCTTGATCTTGAAGAGATACCGGCGACAAAGCCTTAGCATTCACAAGATATTCTTTGCCATATATTTTATTGAGGTTATCTATGGACACCATTGATATTGAACAAGCCATCGCAAGTAGACGAAATTGAGCTGCTGCTGTCACGCGAAAGTCCAGTGGTGTCATGCGCACCATTTCTGGGCTATACAACGATGTGATCCATTTAGATGATACCAGATCGTTGGAGCATACCTATTACACAAAGTGAAGACCAAATAGTACATTTAAGATCTGTCGCGTATGACCTCAACAAATCTCCTTTTAGATATTGCTTATCAAGTTCATAATCATTTCCATCGAAAAACGCAACTAACAACTACATTATCATATCTTTTTAAGAAAAAAGCAAATACACTTATGATAAGTAGTGAATCTTATCAGAACCCATCAAATGTATTGTGATAACATGATAGTTAGCATTGAAGATTTTACTTTGATAAATTTACAAGCAGATCTTTCTATTTAAATGCTCGCTCATTTTATAGTAAACTAAATGATCGATATTCTTCACTTCTTTCAATCATTTTTCAGATTCACTGTAATTATTATGCATTATCAATTATCAAGCGAAATTGAGTACGTCTTTTACCTAGTACATTAATCTCATTGATTTTCAATTTCGATCGATCAACGTATAGTTCAATATGTACGACTTTTTTTTATCGATGTCTTGTTGTTGAAGAGTCTGTAAAGTCTGAGAAAAAAATATTTTTTTGCTGATGAATGAGAATAAATTGATACTAAGGAATATCTCTTTGCTTCTAGTTCCAATGTCTTAGCAAAGAGGACAACCATTTGGCTAAACACTCTTGCGACATTCACAAACACTTGAAAGTCTCAGACTATCAAGTATTTTCAATAGGATTAGGACACCATAATAATTTCTTACAATAACATCTGCCTCTGACTGATAAAAAGTGTCATAGATTCATTAACAATCCAAATTTGTCAAAATAATATTTTCCTACGATTCTTGAACTATCTTAACTTTATTGGATATTGACGCAAATCCATCATTTATTCTATATAGGAATAAGTGAAATAAAGATATCGTTAAATAAGTGCTCATATTTTCGTTAATAGTACCATATCAGAATCCGCAAATATTTTGCTTCACAAGTTTGATAGTGTTTCAATTCGAAAAAGAATTATCCAATGTGATTTCAATAACTTAAGAAGATGCTTCGTAAAACTACGATTAGTGGAGGAGAGATAGCGTACAAGAATACATGGGATAATGACAAAATATATGTGTTCCCATGATTGATTATCGCCGTCGTGTTAGTAGAATTTTAAGTTTATGAATGAACGATTCTTTCAGACTTTAAAGTATTTTAGGTTCAATTCTTTGAAGTATTGAATGTATACTCGATACATGATAGAGTATCTAAATCTTTAGTTACCAAAAATATAATGGCCAAGGCTTTATCTTTTTTTCATCTTTAGGTTGGTTCGATATAGTGAATATCTTTGAATAATGTGTTCATCGATTTCACACTTTATTGGGCATTGAAGTGAAGGAATCAACTATATTACACATAACCAAATATATTAGATGAACTGTTTTGGATAATTTCTTTGACTCTGAGAATATCCTTTGTTCTACATACAAGATGCATTTTTCATTCTCCAAGTATCGTCTCATATGTGATGCAAATCCGTCGCACTAAACTCAAACTCGTTCGAACTTAAAACTTTTACCGAAATATTTGACATGTAAACGAGCATGACCTACTATTTCGAACATATCTAAATTCAGCTCGCTATCTTTTGTTACTCTCCAAGTTGATACTTATCCTAGGACTCATACCTGATGATAAATTGGTGTGATCGAGAAGAAACTGTCATATGATACAGCAATATTTTGACATGGACAAGATATTGTATTAGGATAAAGCATTTGTAGATGCACGTACGTCGCTATCGACGGTTTTGGAATAGTCACCGATACATTTATTGGCGTCAAAGAAGTGAAAATTATCAAGATAAATAAACTCATGATAAGTAGAACAGCATAAAGATGAGTAGCACGTATTTGATCACGTAACACCGGCTCGTCTATTTCGTGTGCTACCTTACCATCATTGAATACGTTATAGCGTTGTAGTTGCTGAACTGCACGTCTGATGATTTCCATTTGACAAATAAACAACTGAGGAAAGTTAACCGATGAAATCGTTACTTTTGAGCTGATTGATAATCAAAACTCGTATTATGTTGTCTTTTCAAAATATAAAAACATAAATTAGATAAATAGCTGAAAATCAAAAATATTTTAAAAGTTTTAATTAGAGCTATGTAATCTGTAGAAAAAAATCAAGTAGCAGAACTTGTCGTTTAGATGCAAAACTCTCATATTTCTGCAGTTTTGAATCACTCATTCATTTTACTTCATTAAAAAACCGTGTAAATTCAGTGTAACATCAATCTACAAAGAAACATATTTTTTGTGAACGTAGTATTGACTTTTGAATACTGACAAAAACTACATACAGTGCTTTTCCCTAATTCTGCGGAAATTTTTTTTTTATTTTTTATTTTTGCTATTGCGAAACCATTTTACATCCGATCGCGAATATTTTTATAAATCTGAATTCTCCAGATTCTCCTCTTTCAAATGAAATGTTATTCATTTTTATAT